TATTTAACTTCTAAGCAGCTTGCACCATGAACTGTCTGTTTGTACAGCACCTACCACAACAATATGTCATCTTAATAAGCACAAGAGTAAAAAGAACTACTCTATGAGGAAAGGTGACCTGAGCAAAGGCAACTGCTGTTTATCCATAAGTACCAACATCACCTCCAACATCAGACATTTCCACTAACAATCAGGGAATAAAGGTTTGGCTGTTTCTTCTGCCTCTGGTGCTTTGAAAAGACAGGATGTTGTGGCTCCTAAGAATATATAAAGTGAGGATCAGTCCTAGTTGCCTGGCAAGAAGAGGGGCCTGCAAACAATCTCTCTCTCACTATAATTTCCCTTCCTCTGTTACCCTCACTGAGTGCTCCCAATAGCACAGCCAATTAAGGGAGGGTTGCAAAGCAGATACAGTGTTCTTTTCTGAAAATAGCTACAGAGGCCAAATGTCCTAAACTGAGATAAAGGAAATGGCGTTGTCATTTCAAACATTCAGTCACATGCTGCATCTTAGTTCTCTGTTGAATGACGTATAGCCTTGTCCAAATTAGGTGCTTCTGACAAGTCATCTGTCGTGCAATATAGAATTAAGAAGCAATGTGCTGTTGTTTTTTTTAAGCAGAAATCCCCTCTGCCCTGCAGAGCTCACACTGGAACTAAATTACAAGATAGGAAGCCCAGAACAAACTTCAGTTCTTGCTGTTTTTAATTTTTTTTAATGTTCCTACCTAAATTAACTTCTCTAGCTGGCTGGTATTGTCATAGTTTGACTAGAAGGAAATGGTCTGGGAGAGATTACTATTGTGATATTGCCCACTTAACCAGAAGCAGGGAGTGAAGTGAGAACTGTACGTTAACTTCCGCAATGTCCTGCTTTAGTGGCAGCATGCAACTTTTGCAGCAGCATAAGGCCTGCCAGAGAGCCATTCTTTCTTGGCAAGTCCATGTCAGCACTGCTGAGAATGAGGACATGTATGATGCTAGAAATTCTGCTGACACAACATCAAATAATCATGTGCCATCAACAAGAGGAGTCCTGTTGCAGAATGGAATTCATCGTGCCCTGCTACACATTTTCTAGCACCGTGCATGTTCCCAGTACAGAAAAGCTCCAATTCAAGTGTTGACAGGCCATGTACATGACTGAATTCTTTAAATGCCCTCCCCATCTCCAGCTTGGAAGTGTACGCTGGATTCAACATTAACTTAGAAAGCATCTCTTCCTACAACCCTGGGAGAGACTATATTTTTGATCTTGCTCCCATCCCGTCCTACGGGTAACCCTCCTGCACTCACTCTGTCACAAGTTTTATGCTCACATTTTATCCCACTCCCATTCATAACCAGTCAAACTTCATCCTGCGCTGGGGATAGACATTGTAAATAAGTAAACAAAGCCACAAGACAATTTTATTCCCCTACATTCAGTCTTATGTCAGCATGTTCCATAGGCACTGGTGGCATTGTGCCCCTACTGACATGCTCTGCTTCTTGGTCTTCACATGGAGTCATAAGCAGAAGAGGGAGAAGCATAGCCTGAGTGTGCAGAGGTAAGGAGACTGGTATAGGTGGCAATGGCATTGGATCTGGCCAGCAGTGGACTCTATTTCCCAGGAGCCCCTGCCCACGTGGTTGGGGCCAGTCTCCATGGAGACCCTAGCCACAGCTGCACTGTGTTAGTACAAGGCTGGAGTTGCCATGGAGACCAGCTACAACTTGCTGGCAGGGCATGCAGCAGGGCAGGGGGCTGCTCCGGAGCCACTGGGATCTTGTGGCAGGGGCAGCTTGGTCCGGGGCCATGGCAGAGCCATGATCTACAGCATACGTGCTCTGGGCAGGGGTGCACAGGCATCGGATCTCCACTGTGCCCCAGCTTGGGACCACACTGTCAGGAGCCAAGGCGGAGCTGTGATCTTCAGCCTGCACACTCTGGCCAGCTCTGCCATTTTGCCACCCCTGCTCTAGATGCTATGTTGTACAGGGTTTTGTAAAGGCCATGAGGAATAAGTGCTGGCTGTGGATGATAACATGAGGAACCTATAGCAGCTGAGCTACTTTCATCTGAAAGCTAGATAGGCAGCCCTAGGAGAGTTCAACACTGCAAGATGCTTTGAAAGAAAAAAAAATAAAAGATGAAGAGGTAAGGAACACGTAGACTATTATTAATAGTTAATAAAGAGGGGAGATATCAGCATGAGCAGAAACTTAGTGGATAAGCCTACAGCTGAAAGATTATATAAAAATTGCTTCCAAACACAGTGTTGGGGTTCATTTCTGTTTAAGCTACAAGGCAGAGTGTTCTTTCCATGATCCATTGTATCTGTTTAAGGGGAAAATACCACCTTTACCAGTACCTCGAGTACCAACAGACCTTAAGGATGCAGATACGGTTTTCATCATAGATCTTTTCATCTTTCAGTAACATTTAGAGGGGGAAAAACACAGTGATTTAGGTTGCATTAAGAGTGTGGTAAAGATGCTCCAGTTATGGAAAAAATGTAGAAGGGTCTGTCCTGTGTGATATTCAGATATTCCAGTAATGGCTGCTGTACAAAGCCCTAGAAGAGATGACAGGACAGTTATCCTTGAAGTGTACAAGAGCAAGCCAAGGCAATCAGTGCAATATCAATAGTATGCCAGGGGTGAATTAAACAGGATCCTTCTTGGTTCCAAGCCTACGCATAGACAAAAAAGAAATGGATCTGAAGCGGAGCAACAGGCAGCAGCCCAGGTGTCTGCTGCCAGCTGGGCTGGGTAGTCTCACTTCCAAACAAGGTCAAAGTCTATAAAATGGGAATAAGAGAGGAGTTCACCTCAAATCCTGCCAGGCCTGCTTGAAACTAGTGTATTGAGGCTTATTAATTTTAACCCACCAGGCAGGCTCAAAGATCTGTTCTGTCAGTGGAGAGTAAAAGATGCACTAGTGTCTTCCTATGGTCTCAACAACATAAAGTAAAATGTAAAGCGTTATTCAGTGGCAAAAGTGTTCATGCCACCAAGTCAGAAAAATAAGGTATCTCTGCACCTCATGCACATAGGACAACAGCAAAGAAAGATGCTTCTGTGATAGGAAAGTTTCATTAAATATGAGGTGTAAAAGGGGGTTATTTTTTAGTTTTAAACAAAAAGGTTTAAAAATAGCTAACTGAATTGTTCAGTAAAGTGGAGCTAAGGAAACAGGCATTAAGGAAAAGACTATGTCAATATTTTCAAAAAAGTTTTTTCTTTTCCCGTGACTGCCCACACAGGCAAGGGGCCTGTCTTTCATTACTCTTTTCTTTTTCCTGTAAGAAGATACTGACTGAGGGCTGAACTTTTCGCTGCTGCTAAAAGTCACCAAATACCCTTTTTGGGTTCAAACAGGTTGGACTCAAGGTTCTGAAAAGCAATGAATAAGTTTGCCAAGGCGGGTGGTTGATTTAATGTAATAATCTTGTGTGCTACCTGTCTGTTTCACCCTAAATTTCTGAAACTCAGTCTGTATGCAGCCTCTCTTCAATGCTGCCTGTCAGCAAGTACGAACAAAATAGTGGAGTACTTACATCTAAGTCAAAAGTGTGACTCAATAGCCAGGCATAATAGTAACGTTCTAAGCAACGTTCTGTAGGTCTAAATTTACTTTTCAGGGCTTATAATCAGATTTTCAAAAGTGGCTAGAACTACCAATAGGTTTCAAGAGGAGCTGCCAAGTAGTGCTGAGCACTTCTGAAAATCTGTGCATTAGATAGTATGATGAATAATGGCAGAATATCTAAGGTAGATAGGTCTGAAATACTACCACCTTGTAATAAATAGTAGGCCTGTGCGAATAGGAAAGTATTTGATTCGGATTCGGCCAGTTCAGAGGACAGTAATTCGATTCAAAGATTCGGATCACTGTCCCGAATCGATTTGGCTGAATTGGTTTCAGAAGATTTGGCACTGATTCAGAGATTTGGTGATTCAGCCATAGACTATAATGGGGAATGACAGAAATACCTATAACTTTTTCATTTTTTGGCAGATTTGGATGAAAACAGCAAGGATGGTAGCCCCTTCTGAGGGCATGAGGCCTGCCAGGTTTCAAGGAGATTGGTGCAGGGATTTCTGGGAAGATGCACCGCAAGTTTCTGAAAGTAAAAGTCATGACACGTGTGACTCTGTGTGTGTGTGTGTGTTGAGGCACAGTGGGATGAAAACAGCAGGGATGGTAGCCTGTAACAGGGGCCTTCCCAGTGCCAGTTATATCTCTGCTCACCCACCTGTTTCTGGGACAGCCACCCACCCCTCTTTTGCTCAGGCAGAAACAGTTCACAAAAGGGACAGAAAGGCTGCAGGCAGAGGCTTATATGCTGTTTCTATGTCCCTCCCCCAGAGCACTGTGATTGGGAGGGGGAACACAGAGAAAGATCACAGTCACTGGCCAGCTGCAGATGTCAGTCTTCCTCCACTGCTTCCTCTCCCTCTTCTCAGTTTCTGTTTCTCTGCAAGACTGCCTTCTGAATCTTTCCAAATCGATTCAGAGCCAAACTGGTGAGTGCAGCATTTCTCTGTAGTTGCCTGCAGGGAGCAGAGACGAGGGAATGTTAAAGGGAACTGCTTGTGAGGGGTGGTTTCCCTCAGTGGGAGAGGAACCAGGGTGCTGAGCCAAGGGACTGTGTTAGACTGGCTCAAGCTCATCAATTGTATCCTGATGAGTTATTGTGGAGGAGACCTGTGACTTGGACACTCAGTGGGATACCGGCCACAAGCAAAAGACTTGCTAGATGACGATAGGCACTTAGAAATGCCTTGCCTGGGCAGAAATTTCACATTGAGAGGGGAGTCGCATTGAAGCTTGAAGCGCTGATGTAGCCTCAAGTGGATTAGGCAGAAAATTAATTTTTAAGCATTCTGGCAATTTTTAAATTCAATATATATATATTTCCGGTTCAGTTCAGACACCTGCTATATGACCATCTTGCAGTCCACAAACATTGGAAGTCATGCAGGAACTTCCTCATCTGCACCCAACCTCTCAACATGAGTGACTGGTGCCTCCTGAATCTGGGGGGGCAACCGCAGAAGCCACTGACAGTGGCAGCCCTGTCAGGAGGGGGGCACCAACCCTACCAACAGCATCAGTGTGGGCCATCAGGGGGGGCACCGGCCCGTTCCGGGGGGTCACATGCACCCCCTACCAGTTGCCTGTCTCTCAATGCCCCACCCAAGGAGGCATGAGTACAGATGTAGAATAAGAGGCTGAATAAAATTACCTGATAGTAAAAAAATGGACATTCCAGTGGCTGAGCCCTTACCATCAGGGGCTGACAAACCATGACAAAGGTGGTGATGTCTCAACGGCCTACATAGCAGAGTTGGACACTTCAAGGAACTAATGAAGAAGTGAGGCTATACCATTGGTTCAACTACCTGTGACCATGGGACAAAGCCTCAGACTAGGCAACACCTGCTGCAATTCCCACTGCTTGAAGGCACATGTACAATGAAAGATCTCACAAAGTACAATATAAGAGCACAAGCATATGTAACAAAATGGTCAAATGTGGTATAGACACAAGAAGTAGTAATTCAGAATAGTGTTGAAAAATGTGACATTTAAAACTCCTTTTGGCACAATCAAAATCTTTTCATTCTTCCATTTTGATTTTGAGTTTGTTCATTTTTTAATGTTTTAAGTGAGGCTGTCAGGAAATTTTAAACTTTTTTTTTTTACCCTTTCAAACAGAAAAAAAAACAAAACACTACATTTTGGAAATGTTGGCTCTGGCTCTTTCATATTTAATAGATAAAGGAAAACACAGGCAGCAAGGGAGAGCAAACAGGAAGCTCAATTTGTATTGTATGAATTTAGTACAAAACCACATAAGAATATTGAAAAAGGCTGGCATAAATATGCCATGTATATCAAACACTAGACCTCAATCAGTCAAAATCTATTTTGCAGGCAAATCAGCAGATGCTAGAGAAAGGAGTTAATCCTTCTAATTAACCAGTGATGCTATCTCTTTGGCACTGAGCTGTTCCAACGTAGAATTATGGGCGATATTTCCCATTGTGCTCCCTCCCCACCCCACCTTCCAGGAGCAGTGGCTCAGAGAATTGTAGCTTCTTTCCAGTTGCTCAGTTTTTGTTTTGCATTCCTTTGTCCCATCCTTCCTGAGCTTTCCTTTGGTGTGGGTTCCAGGAGTAGCAGCCTTGGGTGGTTGGTAGGGTAATAATAATGTTGTAGGGAAGCTATGAGTGGGAGTTGGAGTGGGAGTGGGAGGGGAGGGGGGAAAGAGAAAGGAAGATATTCCCCTCCCACTAAATTGAAAGAAGGCTATGTATAAATGCTGAGAAGCTTTAAAATTTTACTGCTGTTTTTGCATGTCTAAGGAGATGGTGTAGGGAAAGAAGGAAAGCACAGAGGGTTATAGTGTAAGTTTCTAAAGTTCAGAGACTGGTTTGAGGCCTTTACTGTGGAACACCTATTAGTACAACAGGTGCATTTCCCTTCCAAGCCAGAACACTAGCAAATTGACTCTGGATAGTGTTTTTAGCCACAGGCCTGAAGTGATGACATTGTGGAGCCAAACTACCTTTAGGAATGCTAGGACCCTCTGTGCCTCATGACTTCCCTGTGGCTTGTAAAGCTTAGCAAATGTCTCTGAAAGCTTGGAGGCCTTCAGATGAAAGGTAGAGTGTAACTTTATTTTCACTCAGAAACTCCAGCTACTCAGCTTAATATCTGTAGACCTATTTCACTTTTGTAAACAAGGCCACCTTGGCAAGTCTGTCCTGCAAAATAACTTAACAGCACTAGAGCATGCACTGTTGTCCAGCTGCTTCCAGTAGGTATCATTTGATTAATTCTTTGCAGTAGGCTGGGAGCAGAAGTTCCAGGATTTTATAAAGAGGGGTGCAAGAGCAGCAACTGGTGCTGCAAGGGTGGCACTGCACACCTGCTCCTAGTTTTCTCCTTATTTGCACCCACCCCTGCAGGCAGACTGCACCATGGGAGCAGCCAGGGACTTTTTTAAGCTCCTGCAGTGCACTCGCTGGCTGGCAGAGGCTTGCAGCAGGTCGCACACATTATTCAGCTATAGCACTATGCAAACTTGCAGGGGCTACAGCCCAGCTATAGCCAGTAGGGAGTGATTACAGGCTGCCTAGGAGGACTGGGCCAGCTGAGAAAGATAATTAGCCAACCATAGGAAGTTAGAAGGTTTCGAGGGAAAGGAGCCTAGAGGAAAGAAAGGGGGAGGAAAAAGAGAAGAGAAGAATCAGGCTTGTAGCAGCAGAACTGAATCAGATTACTTTTTGGAGTTTAGAAAGAGCCTTAAGGTTGGGAGGTTGGAAGCAGCTGCACCACCACAGGATGAGTTAGAGCTAGGTGGAGAAGGAAGATCAGTGTGGAGGAAGCAACAGTAAGCCACATGCACCTTCTCAGGGCTACAGCAGACACAGGACTGAGTGCACCCTGTATGGACTATGTTAAGTTATGCTATTGAGTGCTGAGTTAGGTTGGTGATGGTTCCTGAGAAGCGAGTGCGCCCAAGAAATAAAGAACTATGCAATGTGGTTTTTTTTAAAGGCTTTTGGGCAAAATAAGCCCCTGAAGCCTCTACAGTCCCCAAAACAGGTGATATCCTCTCCCCACCCCCCATTCCCTTTCCTGCTTAGAAGCAAGTTTCCTCCCCTCTCTTTCTCTCCTTCTCTCCCTCACTAACACTGTCCCTGCTCTCCTGGGGTTAAGGGAAGGTTCTGTCGTGCTCCACGTAGACAGGAGCTTCCCTGATCAGTTCAAGACAGTGACAGTGGTGGGTTCCCCCTTCCCACACCTGCATCTAGGGTGGCAGAAAACACACAGACAGACCGGGCAGAGAGCAGGAACCCTATCGCAGGGCACTGAAGTGCCTACTCCTAAAGAAGGACAGGTGTTGGTTGCCGGGGCAACCACAGGGGTCAGCTGACCGGAAGGGGGCAGGGCCTGGCCTACATAAACAAGCCAGGCTGAGACCAGAGGCAGTTCCTCTCTGTCAGCTGAGGAAGAGAGAGCTCTGCTGGAAGTAGGCCGAGTTGAGAAGCCTGATGGCCTGAGCGGTTTTTGGGTGAGGATACCAAGTAGAGGAGCCCCTGGCAGGGACGGAAATGATGATTAGCCAGAGGGTTTAGGGGGCGAGTTTTAGCCAGGAGGCTTGGGTTTTGTGTTGCAGCCGATTGGCTTATGGTTTTGCTTTATTGTTACACCGGAGGACCGGGTGAGGCTATAAGGGGTTGGAGGAGGCCTCATGGGGTTCCACAGTGGTGTGGAGAGCCGGGTGCCAGAGAGGGCACAGCATTAAGGGGGTACTGACCCCAGCCCTGAGAAGGGGCACAGTGGATTGGGGCCAGATAAGGCTGAGGCCGCCAGAGCTGTACAGGAATTGTAAACCCCAGAGGGTGCTTAGGTTAAGGCCCAAGGAGGGGATTTGGGGCCAGGCACGGCTACGGCCACCTGAGCCCCGATTGTAGGAAGCCCCAGTGGGGCGTAGGATCTGAGAAGGGGGTCTGGAGGCCAGGCATGGCTACGACCACCTGAGCCTCAATTGTGGGAAGCCCCAGTGGGGCTCAAGACCTGGAAAGGGGGTCTGGAGGCCAGGCACGGCTACGACAACCTGAGCCTCAAGTGTGGGGATCACGAGGAAAGTCCCCAGGGAGGGCGTGAGCGCGAGCAGAGCCCCAGGGAGGGCGAGAGTATCACGTTGAGCCCCAGGAGGGCATATAGGAATAAGAAGCCCGAGGGAGGGCACAGCAGTCGGGATTAAGGGCCAGGTAGGGCCCAGGCTGCCTGAGCCCAATCGTGACGAGCCCCAGTGCAGGCACTGGCACGAAGCCCAAAGTGGGCGTGTGTTAAGCCCCAGGGAGGGCGCACGAAAATAGAAGCCCCAAGAGGGCGAGCACGTGGAGAGAGGCCCCGAGAGGGAGAGAGGCCCTGGAGAGGGCGAACATGTGGAGAGAGGCCCCGGAGAGGGCGAGTGTGCGGAGAGAGGCGCCGGTGTGGGCCGCTAAGAGAAGATAAGCCTGGAGGGTGTCTGCGAGGGCGCGGACAACAAGAAGAATAGACTCATCAACATCCGGTACAGCTGAGAGGCTTGGGGCGTGGTATAAGGGGTGGTAGGAGCCACGCATAGCCCATGAGGCTGGGTGCACCAATTCAACCTATACAGAACAGGGGCCAGAAGAAATAAGAGCACCGTGTCCAAAGGGACAAAAGGCAGCCTCCCTTATAATACTTGTGTCATCAAAGACGTGGCGGGCGAGAACGAGGGTGCTTGACAGACAACTTGGCATGGTAGGGGCGCCAGGAGAGATCACGGCCACTCCTGGGTCCCCACCCTGTAACAAACCCACTTGTCTGTTGCTGCTGTTCCGGGCTCATCCCACCCCCTGTACAGGAGTGGGACAAGAACTGTTTGCTGGACTGGCAGTGGCAGGCGGGGGTGCAGAATAGGAAGGGAAGGAATGTGCTTCTTTCTGAGTATGGAGGGGAAAGAAAGCAAGAACTTCCATAAAGTCTCCCACTGCTCCTCCAGCTATGCAGTCAAAAAGGGGTTGTGATTCCATCAACTCATCCCCTTTAGATCTGTCCTTGGGTGAGAGAGAATTACACCGTCTCTGAGCTGTGCTTCTCTCTGTACCAGTGTAGAAGTATGTACAAGCCAGTTAGGACTTGCCATCTGGAATATAATATGCCATATTTGCTTACTATATAACACTAGCATTCAATAGCCTGATGTCAGCAGCTGTCGTGTTGTCACCACTGACAGAAACCCCATGGAAATGCAAGTTAAAATGTCTGTAACCTCCTGTGCACCAAGCAGTTTCCCTGCTCTTTTTTTTTTCTTTTTTTAGTTAAGTGACTCAGTTTAAAAATTCTATTGCTTGGTAATATTTAAAGGCATTATTTTTCTTTTATGTTTAAAAAAAAATCCTTACACAAATGGAAGGAAGCCAATTAATTCTTTTTACCAATGGAAGGAAGCCAGTTAATATTAAAACGATGTCAAATGCACCAAGAAATGGAGGACAAAGAGCTTGAAATATGCACAAAACTGTCAGTTTCCATTCTCTTTAAGATCAATGAAATACAGGGGGGCACATGCAGTATATTCACATGTTAAAGTTTGTAAAGCTAACAAAAACACTTTAAAAAAAAAAGTGACACTTTCTGCCTTTGCATGTGAGATGCAAATCCTGATCGCTGGCAGCCAGAGTACTCTTTAAATGAATACATCTAAAAATGATGTTGAACATTAAAGGATTACTTTATCATTACTGTACACAGTTGTGCTTTGGACCCTTACTAAAGAGTTGTCTTGTCTCCATTCTAACAAGGGGGTTGTACTTGCCCAAATGTGCCAGTGAAATACAATTAGATGATTTTAAATCCTGTCTTGCTAAAGCACTGATTCTTAACCAGGGTGTGCATCACTCTTGGGTCCATTGAAATCCTTTCAGGGGTGTTGTGGAGTGCCACACAGTGTGAGCATTTTTAGGTGTACAAACATGATTCACAAAATAAACCCACAGATTTCAAATGGGAATCTATTGCGTTTAAAAGCTCTCTGACCTGCTCTGGGCATTCTGAGTTCTTTGCAACAAGAATACTGTTCTCGTATTTTCCTGTAGTCAAAGTGAGTGTAAGCAAGAGCTGACATTTTCCAAGGGGTGCCTTGAATCCTAAAAAGCTGTGAACTACTGTCCTAAAGCTTCCTCTGTCTCTGGAATTGAATGTGCTCCTGCCACCCTGGCTCTGGATCTCAAAGATGTTCCTGTAGAGGGCCTAATAAGCAGGTTGCAGCATGTGTCCCATCATCTCCTTTGATCACCTACCCCAGGTCGTTACCTGGGTTTCAGCTTCTGCTGTGTTTAGAGCAGCGGAGAGGACTCTGACATGTTTCTGTGTAACTGTCTGCACAAAATGGGTATTTGCTGTTATCAAAGTTTAACAAAATTCCCGTGGTAGAATACCTGGTTAGAGATTCCAACCTTGGTTAGAGGTTTACAGCAGATAGTATATCTAGAATTCAAATGAGATATTTCTATCTCCTGTATCGTACTATCCATGTGTTACTTTGGATATGCTCTGTCTGTTCCAGTTACTAGCTAGAACTTGATTTATGGGAGTTAAACACCTGCACCTCTCCTAAGGGATTATTAGCATTTATTCCTTTGATTTCTCAAATTGTCACTAGTTGTCTGCTGTCTTTATACTTGGAGAAAATCTTATGTTATATAACTACATAAAACTGACTGGTTCAGAGAGGCATAAGGTTTTTTTGCAAAGCTTTCTGTGAGACCACCTGGCCCTGCCCAGCTTTAGACTAACACAACTAACTACCTCTCCCTCCATAAAACTGAACTCATTTTACTTCACTGCAGTGTGCTGCACTGGTATAAATGCAAATGGACAAGACCATGAAGCAGGTCAAGATCAGGTATGTGAAATAAACAGAAACCAAGCATAAAAAGAGGGTTTTATGATGACTGTGCAAAACTTTTCTGGGTGTTTCATTGCGATGCTGTTTGGACTTGTTTCGAGCTCAAAACACCCACATCAAAATGAAATGAAATGAAAGGCTTTGAAACAGCCTCGAAATGAAACGAGGGCACTTTAAATGTTTTGAGTTTCAAAGCTGGACTTGCTTTCAGGGAAACAGAAACTAAGGAGAAGGAAGCGGGTTGGGGGAAACTGCTCTGATATTTACTGTGTAGCTGGTCAGTGACTGTGATCCTTCCCTGAGGTCTCTTCCAATCCCTCTGGGGGAGGGATGGAAAAACAGCATAAAAAGCAGCATTGTTTAAATTGAGCTTTCTCTGTGCCTTGCGGTCGGTTACTGAACTCTTTCAGGAGCATCAGTGAAAAGCTACCACTTCCTGCTTGCTAGCCTGTTACTAGCAAGTGGGATCCAATACCTTTTGCTTCCCTAATACCCTTTTATTATTATATTAATTCATTCCTTCCAATTTATTCCTCCCCCAAAATCCTCTTCTTATTAGTCTATTTTGATTCTTTTTCCCAAGAAAAGAAATCTGTGATTTCTCACACAGTGTGATTCCATTCACTGTGCAGGGAAGCACAGCATATATCACATATTATAATATAGAATTTATTCAGGAACCCATATATACTTTTATATTTTATTTATTACATAAATGCATACATATATACAATTATCTACATATATCACATAAATACAGATTACATTACAAAACACAGATTTTCCAGCACATCAAACACGCTAGGAAACAACACTGTGAAGTGTGCTGGAAAGGTAGCTGGCAAGCCTTCAGGGAGGGGTGGAAGAGGGTAGAGGGAAAGCTGTAAGTTTCTTCCCCACCCCCACAAAATGAGATGCAGCCTCTTTCCTACAAGCAGACAGGAGGCTTCCAGTTCTACTGGCAGCAAGGAGAGGGGAGCACTGCCACTGCCTGAATCTGCATCCCCTCCAAGAGCACCAGCCATAACCCCCACTACCACCACCATCATGACAAGAAGCAGCAGCCTGACAGTCTCCTCCACCCCCATTTCACTTCCCATCCCGAGTCTTCTAGTGCTAGAGGAAGAGCTGGAGCAGGATCTGGATCTGAGTGCCCTAGCAAGGGAAATTCTGGGGAAGAAGGAGGAATCATCTGAGTTTGTGCTCCACACATCTCAAGTTTCCCCTAGAGCTGGGTCTCCTTCCCCAAAACGCATTTCAGAGAAGGCTGAGGTAGAGGGTGCAGAGGAAAGTGGCTCAGCTGAGTCCGCTTCTCCTGTTGCTGTGCCTCTGCCTGCTGAGGATGGGGAAATTGCAGCATCCACACATGTACCCGCACCCCAAAAGCAAGCAGGTAGTGTGGTCTGGGATCATTTTGAGCTGGCAGATGATCCTACATATGCTATCTGCCTGCACTGTCAAGCCAAAACCAGCTGAGGTAAGGGAACAAAACACATGAGCACCACAGGGATGCTGATGCATCTCTGCAGGAACTACCCTCTTGCCCTTGCTCCTCAACCTGCCAACAGTGGGAGCATGCCTCAAAAGAAGTCCCCCTCTTGCTCTAAAGCCCCTGTCCCCCAAAGCAAAGGCAGGCCACCCTGGAACAGTGGGGGAAAGGCGGACAGAAAGGGGGGGCGTGTTGAAAAAGCAGGAGAGATCACCGAGAACATTGGGGAGATGCTTGCTGTGGATGGCCCGCCCTTCTTCTCAGTTGAGTGGCCAGGACTCAGGCAGCTCATGGCCCCATCCTCCCCAGTGCCTGTATGCACCACCTTCAGCAGGACGGTGCTGCCCTCCCTGTATGAGGTATGCTGCCGGGAGTACTTGAGGGAGGAGCTTCACAAGGCAGGTCTGCAAGTGGCTTTACACTTCACCTCGGACATCTGGAGCAGCCAGGATGGAGATCACGCCTACCTCTCCCTCACAGGGCACTGGTGTGGTCAGGTAGGCCATCAGTGCGCTCTCCTTCAAACTAAAGTGATGGATGAGTCCCATACAGCAACCGAGATCATGGGGGCCATGAACCACTTGGTGCAGGGGTGGCTCGTTGGGCAGGGCGAGCTCACCTGGGGGTTCATGGTCACCAACAATGGGGCCAATATGGCCAAGATATTGGACATAAAACCAACACGCAGGTTTAGCAAACCTGGGTTTATTGCATAATAATGGGGCAACTGAGTTAGACTATTTAGCAGCACACCACACACTCATATCATACACTTGTCCTGCACACCATTCACACTAAGTCACCTATCTGCGGCTCTTGGAGTCATGCTGTGATTGCCAGTCACAGGCTTCTGCAAGGCAATGTCCAGTCAAGATGGGGCGCAGGCTCTCTCTCGTGTGGATGGGTTGGTGCTGGTGGTCAAAATGCTCATCAGGCTGGCTTTTCACTGCCATTTTATTTCCTTTTGGGCAGACTTCAACCAAAGCCTGGAAGCTTCTGGAGGCTTCGTTACCAATCACCATTCACATTTTAGCATGTTTATTTCAGACTCTGTCACCAGTTATATATTGTCTTTCACATTCCCGTTTGTTTTTTAGTCCTAATTGTACCATCTCCACATTCCTAAGACCCCTGTATCATATCTTGTTACTTACTGTAGCTGGTTCGTACCAGTCTCCATTCAACCATTATTCTCACATCATTCACAGCACACAGACTTACACAGACTCGCTTGCTGCTTTTAAAATTGTTGACACAATTAAGATGGCTACTTAGCATAAGCGAATGGCTTGAATCATAAGCATTCATAAGCAAAATCATAGTGTAAGTATAACATAAGCAAAGTCATAGCATAAGTATAACTTATTTTAAACAATAATGGCATATTCCAAAACATTCCAGCAAAGGCAGTCCGCTGTGTGGCACACAAGTTCCACTACAGGTAGTTGCCTGTGTCCTCCACCACAGGCACTGCCGATGTGGGCCAAGGGCATGGCTTCTATGGTGAGGTCCAGAGGCACCAGACCCCACCATCTGACAGGAGCATTCAGGTCTTGGTGGGGGATATGGCCAGAACTGGCCACAGTTGCCTGGGAACACCTGTCCTGTCCACCAACCAGTGTTCCAAGCAAGCAGAGCATTGCTGGTGATGTAGTGACACCCCATCTGTAGACAGGTAGTTGGGTGTTCTTGTCTGATAGATTTTTCAGTGTGTGCTCATTCTGGTACACAGCTGTTGTTTGGTGTCTCCTACATATTTTTTATCAGGGCATAAACCACATTGGGGCACACTACCATGTCATGTAGAGGCCCCAGTGCTAGTGAGGGCACACCTTAACACATACACAAAGTCATACATGTCACAAGTTTTACTTGTCAGCAGCTTAAGGTGCAGTTTCCCAGAAACCGTTGCACCTATCTCCTTGAAACCTGGAAAGTTTTGAGGCTTCAGCAGGGGCTACACCATGCCTGCTGTTCCCCCTCCCCTCCCCCACCCCCACTCCTTCACACTTACAAGTAACATGAGTTTTGCTTTCAAGACTTTGAAATGCAGTTTCCCAGAAACCGCTGCACCTGTCTCCTTGAAACTTGACAGGCTTTGTGGCCTCACGAGGGGTTACTCTTTCTGCTGGTTTCATTCAAATCAGGCAAGAAATGACAAAGTTATAGGCATT